CCTGTCTCAAGTGTTTTCTTTTCTGGACTGTACGTAAGCCATGGATTTCAGAAGAATGGGTTATTCAAATCTATAGTTTAAGCAAGAAGAGGAGGGGAAGTGTGTATACGAGGAGATAGATATGCTTCTGAAAGAAAAAAACTTTCAAGTTTCATTCATTAGGGTAAGTTAGCCAGAACATGTCATGTCATGGTTTCTTGATTCTGAATATGATATAAAAGTAATCACCTGATTTCAAAAGAAGCTACTTTTTTTTCTCTGTTGAAAGAGGTAATGGATAGCAGTAATAGTTAATTTTCTAACCTCCTTTGTGTTGTGATATATGCTCCAGGAAGAAAAGGTTTTTCTCCCCATTTCAGCTATCTACATCTATAGAATATATGAATCTCAGTGAATGTCTCAAAAACAAACCATAACAATTAGTCTCCACAATATTAAACAGTAGATTAAAATAGAGTCAGGAACTGTATAGGAACCTTTTCTTTTTTTTCTTATGGAAGAATTCAAAAAATATCTGCAAACAATTTTATCACTTAACATACTCAAGTGTAATTCCAGATGTAGATTTTCAGCAAGGTGGAAGAAACACATGGTTATCAGTGGAAAACAGAAGGGAAAGCAGATTTACAAAAGCAAGTCTTACTCTTCTTGCAGGATCACTTTTAATTTTCTGCATAATTCCTTGGCCTTCCAGGGCTGTGACTGCTTCTATGAGAAAGAATGGAGAGAATTTCAGTGAAACTTTGAAATTATTAGGTCACAGAAAAAAAGAAGAGGAGTGGATTGTGTTTGATGATGTTATTATCCAGAATGCACGGAATGGACTTGTATCATTTGAACTAAATGAGCACTTAGAAAGGTAATGTATGAATTATTTAATAAAATTATGTTGCTAAAATATTTAATTCCAGATGTACTGATCAGTGAGAACTGAGCATTATCAGCTTGCTAGCATCTCTTCTTCCAGTTTGAAATATCAGATCATTTAGATTTATTACTCATAATTACACAAAATATAAAACTAGGTAAATAACATTTCATCTCTAGATCATAAACAATGAAATGTATCCAAAAAATGGAACTGGAAATACAGATATTAATCCTAATTTGACAGTGTGATTTAGCTCTCTAATTACATGAAGGTAATTTTGTTTTGAAATGTCCTTTATTAAATATTCTCTTGCTTTCATTTACAATTCATACATATTTAAAGTCATATATATAGAAAGAGTCAACATATTCTACACTACAAAGCAAATTATCACCTTCCATGTGATGGAAAAAAGGTGATGGAACAAAAATGAAAAAGAGGTAGCAAAATGTTTGTTCAAGACTGAGCCTTGTATTATTTTGCATGATAAGCTCAGGAAGTGTAAGCTCCTGTAAGCTCAGGAAGTGTGGGTTGGATGAGTGGACAGTGAGGTGGATTGAGAACTGGCTGGATGGCCGAGCTCAGAGGGTTGTGGTGAATGGCGCAGAGTCAAGTTGGAGGCCTGTGGCTAGTGGTGTCCCCCAGGGGTCAGTCCTGGGTCCAGTCTTGTTCAACTCTTTCAGCAGTGACCTGGAGGAAGGGACAGAGTGCACCCTCAGCAAGTTTGCTGATGATACTAAACTGGGGGGAGAGGCTAACACACCAGAAGACTGTGCTGCCATTCAGAGGGACCTGGACAGGCTGGAGAGCTGGTTGGAGAGGAACCTCATGAAGTTCAACAGGGGCAAGTGCAAGGTCCTGCACCTAGGCAGGAATAATCCCATGCACCAG